CCGACTCGTCAGACTTTATTAAGAGCCAAGTAGAACACTTGATTAAGCTGCTTGATTCTAGTCAATTCTCCTCCGGCCCGTCGACCTCTCATGTCCGTCAAGGTAACGCCTCTATGGTTATCGCTAGTTTTGAGTATTTGAGTCCGTGAATTATCGATTCAGATGCCACAGATCATGATCGTGTGTTCTCATTTTTCCCCGACAGTCTCCTTGCTTCGGGAAAAATACGATTGAAATTGTGGATGGCTCATTAAATTCCATCACGGGTAAAGGGTTGGTTTAATTAGCAGTCGAACTGACTTTGGAATCCGTGTTACACGTTCCTTTACTTAAGTGTGACCTCTTGTTGGTGAGTAAGCTAACATGTCATCTTGATTGTATATCTCATTTTTCCCCTGATTCTTGTGTTTTTCAGGATTGTTGTTCAGGGAAAATAATTAGAAGTGCTAAGCGGGCAATCAAACTATATTTTTTTCAAGAAAATGAAAATTATAAAGTTAGCACTCAATCTTGCAGTTGTAGTTTTTCTCTTTCTACTGCATGTCCAATTATGCTTTTACATTGTTTTTGGGTCATCGCAGTTTTCATTATTTAAAACAATTGTACCATTTGATGTTTATTGATAAAAATACATCTTCTTTTAAATGTGAAATTTGTCAATTAGCTAAACATCAATGAGTATCATATCCTCCTAATCCTTACACATCATCCTCCCCTTTTTTTCACTTATTCATAGTGATTTATGGGGACCCTCTAAACTTAGAACAATATTAATAAATGAATGTTCCATAATCTAATTTATGACCACGCTCGGATGTCTTGGGCATGTGTATTAAAACATAAATCTGAAGATGTCACATTTAAAAATTTTCACTTCTTTTTAGGCATGGAAGTAGATCAATCATCTTGGGAGATTTGTCTTCCCAAATGCAAATATGTGATGGATTTATTGACTGCACCTAAATTACTTCTTTGCAAACCAGTAGTTATCCCGATGGACCCAATGAGAAATTATTTAAAGTTCTCAATGTCATCTCAATAAACAAAACATGCTACCAACGCCTTCTGGGAAAACTCATTTACCTTGCCCATACGCAACATCTCACCATTGTCCATCAAATTCTGGACTAACTCAAAAGCATACTGAGCTCGAATTTATTGTTTACTCGTCACACCTCTCACTCTGTTGTGATTTTATACGGATGTTGATTGGGACGAGTCTGTCCATGACAATCTACCTCGTGTTATTGCTCCTTCGTGTGGGGAAACCTTGCCATTTGGAAAAGTAAAAAACAATCAATTGTTGCTCGGAATAGTATTGAAGTCGGGTGTCACTCCGTCTTTGGATGTGTGTGAAGCCCTCTGATTGTACATCATGTTTTGTGAGTTACGTATGTTGGACACCGTTCCTCTCTAGTTTTTTTTTGTGACAATAAAGTTCTCATTAACATTGCTCATAATTTGGTCCATGATCATACCAAACATGAGATTAACTGTCAGTTTATCAAAAGAAACTTGATTTTGGGGAGATTTGTGTTCCGTTTGTCCCATCTGTTGGCCAACTAACCAATATTCCAACAAAAAATCTTCCTTACCTATTGTTTGAAGATTTCAAGTTCAAATTAAACATGATTGACATATATGTTTCAACTCAAAGGGGAATGTTAGAAGTTATATTAAGATCTTATTTAATTTATGTTATTTCCTATTTATGTATTTTTTTTTATTTGTGGCTAGTTATAGGAGTTTTTATTTTTAGTTTATTTGATTTTATTCTTGCAAACTTGGAGATATGATATTTATTAAGTTTAGGATTCTAGGTGTTTTTTCTTTCCTAAGTTTGGGATTCTAGTAAGTTGTATTTAAGTCCACATTTCATATCAATAAAAGTATTCTGCTCAATTCACCAAACCTACATTTCTATTAAAGAAGTTGGTGAAAAAGGGTGTAACTTGATTTTTAGTGCTAACACTTCAAAGGTAAAAAAAAAGTGTTAAGGTGATAGCATGCTACATATAATTTCAAACAATGTGATATTGAGAGTGATAATAAACTCAAATATCCATTCATACATATGGCGTTAAAAATTAGGGAATCTAAGAAAGGAATGAAGATTTACCAGTAAAGTGATAAGTTTTCCAACAAAGTCCTTAAATAATAACTACCGTAAGAATTGCATTCCTAGAAAGCAAAGAAAAGTCAATTTTTTCAAAGGCTGGAAGGTAACACAAAACTCAAAAGTTGAACAATATGTATGCCAAAATTTGGGAATCATCATCAAAGGAATCACTTGAGATCTATTTGGGGCAACTACAACTTATCCAGTTTATGCTGATAAGCAGCTTATCCAGTTTATATTGATAAGCAGTTTATCCAGTTTATGTAGATAAGCAGCTTATCCAGTTTATGCTGATAAGCAACTTATCCTGACAATCTGCATATCTGCAATTGATCATGATAAGCTCACTGACTGTTTGGTTTGTGCGTTTGGAAAACAATTGATTTTGCATAAATGACCATTATGCCCATATTTTTAAACTCGATAAATGCATTAAAGATTGACCAAATATCCTAACTTTAACCAGTAAATATCTCACCTCTATGATCATTTTTTTAATCAGCTAAATGATCATTTTTTTTAATCATCTAAGCAATCAATGTTCATTAACCCAACCCTAGGCTAACTATAGAGTCATGTTTACAAGAATTATTTCTAATAAAAACAATTTAACAAATGTCACGTCAGAAACTATGTTCAATTACCCATGCTATGCAATTAACCAAAGAAGATGATCATCATAGAAGTCAAGAGCTACAAGCATGACAGAAAAATTTGATCTTCAACTGCTTATAACAGTAGCCTCTTCAAATTAGTTATTTAATCAAAATTTCAATATAAATTCGTTTAATTGCTGCCACAAATAATAATTTTTTTGAGGCTCAATTCCCTTTCAATAATATATAAGACCACCCTCCTTATTCATCATCATCAACATTAGCCTTATCCCAACAATTTAGGTTATGATCACAAATCCTCAAATTTCATTTAATTCTTGTTGAAAAATGTCTAACCTTCAGTCAAAAACAAGCATTTTATAGAAAGATATGTGGTGAGTTACCTGCACCACATAATCCTAAAGAAATACTTTTTTTTTAAAAAAAGTCCATAACAAAGACTAATCCCTGGACAACAAAAAGAACTTCAAAGAAAGCAGGGATTTCAATAAAGCAAAAAATAATCGAAAAAGAATAAGAGAAGTTTTAACAGATCTTTAAATAAATTTCAGAAAAAGAGCACCTCTTGACTGCTTGAAAGGGAATAAGTAGGGATGAACTGCGCCGCTAGATCCTGATGAGCTTGCTGCATCCATGTCCATCAAAGATTAGATCCAAAGAAAACCTAACGGATCCATCAAAGACCCAAATCGCTCATCTCAAGTTTTTCCGAGGTTAGGATTGACGATCCAGCAAAGCTTACCTTCTCCGTTGAAATCTTCTTCTCATTTCCACGCCGCTTGTCACATCAATGTCTTCTTCACCTCGCTGCGGTCGATACTTCCTCACTCCTACCCGAAACGAAGGAGAGGGGAGCACGACCGCGACCTCCACAGTTGGAGCGAAGGAGAGGCGAAGAGCAGAGGGCACGGGAGGAAAATTCACCCGAATGCGAAATGAAGACGCGGGACGGGGGGTCGATCCTGCATCCCCATCTATTAAGGATCTCAAAACGTCGTTTTGGAATAAGTTATACGAACGCTCGAGCCAAACGACACGGCGACGATTTGAAAACGCCGCCCGCACCAATAAGTTGCCCCAAACAAACCCCTAGTGGCTCGCAATACTAAATGAAATCCATTGGAGAAATGTAAGGGCATATTTAAAAAATAAATAAAATTGATTACTTCGATACTTTTAAAAGTTGGAATAGTGTGGTAGAAAATGAGGCCGGCATAAAAATAAAGTGCTCAAAATCAATTAATAGAAGAGTATGATGAAAGGAATTTAAGAATTTTACAACTAATGTTATATGTACAAAGACAACAGTTCCAAGAGCATCACAACTTAATGGAATTATTGGCACACAACCTAACCAAGAATGAAAGATCTGGATAAACTCGGTTGCATTCAATACATAATAGGCGATAAGAATATAATATTTGATAAACTCCTAAGAGTGTTGACATTCACACAATCAAAGACGAAACACCTGCAATATACTTGAGAAGGTATCGAATAATGCTTAAGCCTACTAATAAGTAGTCTCCCTCCTTACATTATGTGCTGCTTATCAGGGTTCTTGTACCAGAGAATTTTGAAGTAACATAGTTTAAAGATTTATCAAGTGAGAGAAGGTGGTGAAAGAGGAGCCGAAATCCTTGTATAAAAACAGCACACGAACATTAACAGAGCTACCAATGAAGAAAAGGGAATTGCAAACAAACAGAGTTTTCATATCATGGAAAAGCACAATGGTAGTAAAACGACCAAGCAAGGTTTGCTGTAAAAGATCCCAGTAAAACAACACATTTACATGAGAGATCTAGAAAATTTGGCAATTAGTTCTAGCAAGTCAATCTTAAACAGCAAACTTGAGCATACCAACTGCATTTGATACAAGGGGCATTTACATACATACCGCCCTATTCATATGTATTTACATATCAAACACCTAAACTTTGCTTTTTACATTTATGCAAATCTTCCTTGATAAACGAATTCATATCCTCATACCCAAAAAATTATCAAAACTCGTCCTAAACTATATAACGCTACTAGCCTTTATATATTTGAAAGAAACCATCTTTCAGATACGATATAACCCCTCAAATGAGAAGATTTTTATACGTTATCAGCACGCTATATTAAACCAAAATCTTTTGTATAGCAATATCGACGTGAATTCTATTTCTAAGTCCATAAAAAGGACTGAGAACAAGGGTTTCAAATTCAGTCGAAAAATTTCGACTTTTTTTTCAGTGACAGTGTTTTACATGAAATACCTGATAAATTACAAGGAGAAGCAGGCCAATGAGGATGAAGAAGCCGAAAAGCCACCCTATGATAGCTCCGACCATCGCCGTCAATACGCCCTCCGGAGCGAAAAGGCCGGCGTTTTGCTTATCTCTTTTTTCGGCCTCCTCTTCGTCTTTTGCTCTACCAATCCGATTACGATAAGGAGAAGAGAAGATCTAGCTCTAGCAGAGTTAAAACCAAGGAGCCAGAGCAGCGCCGGCGATTACCAGACAGAAATAGAATTCAGAAACCTCATTTGGGCGGTGTTTGGTAGTGGCGGTCAAAACGTTCTTCGCGAACAGCTAGTGTTCGCTCGAATCGTGTTCGGCTGTTTGCTAGGTTAAAAGGGAAAAAAATATTACATGAAGTAAAAGGGAAAAAATATTACATGAAGTAACATGCCTAAGGAACGTGTATAATCAATAAAATCACGTCACGATATCCCGCGCGACAGGAAAAGAATGGTACAGTAACATGAAGAATATTCTCTCAAGTAAAAGGGAAAAAATATTACATGAAGTAACATGCGTAAGGAACGTGTATAATCAATAAAATCATGTCACGATATTCCGCGCGACAGAAAAAAAATGGTACAGGAACATGGAGAATATTCTCCTATGTGTTATTCATGTGTTATTGAGTGTTATTCATATGTTATTCATGTATTATTATGTTATTATAACATCAAGAATATTCTCATGACACAATAACACATGAATAACACACAATAACACTTGAATAATATGGGGAATATTCACGACAGCGCAGTAGCACGGAGGAATATTCTCCCCTGTGTTATTTGTGTGTTATTCATGTGTTATTCATGTGTTATTGTGTTATTATAACACTAGAAATATTCCCAGAACACAATAACACATGAATAACACACAATAACACATGAATAACACGGGGGGAATATTCCCCGTGTTACTGAGACGTTTTTTTTTTCTGTCGCACGAGGTGTCGTGACGTGATTTCATTGGCTACACACGTTACTCTACGTGCGTAGTACTGATATAATATTTTGGCGTTAAAACGTGCGTAGTATTGATGAATAGTTTTTTTAAAAAAAATTAATTGATTACAAGATTATAAACATTTATAATCAATTAAATGTATTAATTAAAAAATAGAATAAAAATTATTAAATTTGATTCAAATGATGTTTTACTATAAGTAATAATTTTTAAATCTTGCCCTAACCCTTAGCAACTTATGGGTCTATAATCAATTAAAAGTATTAATTAAGAAAGTAGAATAAAAATTATTAAATTAGATTCAAATGATGTTGTAATATAAACAAAAATTTTTAATCATAACCCTTAATATCTTATGGTTATGTGATTAGGGTTGTCAAAACAATTTTTTGTTCGTAAACAGCTCGTATTCGACTCCTCAAGCAAACGAGTCAAACACGAACACACTTTTTGAACTCGAAATATAAATGAATCGAACACGAGCGAGCCCAAACTCATGATACTCATACCCAACACTCTGTTTCGGACGGCGGCTCACACCTAAGAGAGTTTTGATATGTTTTATTAAAACTGTGCTTAAGAACCCACCACTTCTGACTAGACATGATGATAACTTTTTTTAATCGTGCATGCCTGTTTATTGGCATTTACAGAAAATTCAAGTGAACAAATATTGATGATAACTTTTTTTAATCGTGCATGCCTGTTTACTGGCATTTACAGAAAATTCAAGTTAGTAGATTTTCTAATATTTTCACTTATTAAATTTATAAAGTTAGTTCAAAAAATTTATTGAAACCTAATTATTCTTTAACTTGTTTTAAGTCCTAAAAAATGTTTTTATTACAATCGCTAAATTCTTAAACTGTGCACTCTTAAAGTGCTTGAATGATTCCATGCATTTCTAAATTGCTTGGGACATGCCATTCACTTTATTCACTAAAACCAATACTTTAGGCCAAATTCAATACCGTGATTTAAGAGGAAACTCAAAAGAAATTGATAAGGAACTATGTTTTTCAAGTCCTAGATTTAAATTTACCATTTTGTTAGTTTGTCAATTGCTAGAAGATTCACTGTGATTAAGTAATAAATTATCATTTTAGAGTTGTGCTAAAATCTAACACACAATAAAATAAAATAATCAATACAGACTTATGAAGTTTTACATAGAAAACCTAAAAAGGAAAAAATCACAAACTCTTGTCGAGTTAAAAGTTTCACTATGAGTTGTTAATTGCACATATAGTCTCTTGTCGGATAGACTGAAAATGGTTACACGATTTGTCGAGTTACAACATTCGTGCACAAAATAACTTGTTGCTCCACAGTAGGGACCGATCACAGTGAGTGATTTGTTAGAGCTTCAACACACTATTTTTTGGGTCGGCATAATATTTAGGATGATACACTGAATCATAGGCTTGCTACATGATTCCACGGTGTCGGTTGTGCTTCGCACGATGCTTTGTCGTAAGGAGCGGTGTGGTTAGTGGCTGCAGAAGCTGGAATCATTCGTTGGATCGTCGATGCAAAATAGTAAACTTTAGCTCCCTATTTCACATTCTTTAGTCTTCCTCTGCTTTGGGGTATAGTCCCCTACTCAAGAGAGGGTTGGGGCTTTATTTATAGAGTTCATATAGTGAATAGAAAGTAATTTAGATCACCCGAATTGGATGCCTGGGAATATTTCCTACATTAGACAATGTTATGTGGTCATTTAACTGCCTTGATGATGTCGATTGAGTGATATTAAACTCGTTAGATTTTTCTTCTTCACATGCTTAATTTAACTATATGTTTGCAAGATTCATAATGTGTTTGACATTTCAATTACACATTGAAAGCTTTCAAATGTGATTTGATGGCTTTGATCTGGATTTTATTTGACTAGTTTTGGTATCCATGGGTTCGTCTCGTCGGGTCGGTCAGTTTGATTATAAATTTGTTGAAATCCGAGTTATGAATGACTTTTATTTTAAGTTTAAATATTTTTTGTTAAAAAATATTTTGAGATCAATATCATGCCTTAAGATTTATGTCAGGTAATTAAATTTTGTTAATGGCGTATAAATGTTAAATCCTACTTAAATGATTGCCATGCAAACCCTACATATCCCTCAATTATACTTTTGAATGAAAATACATCAACATTGAAATATGAGAAATATTTTCAACTATTCACTTGGAAATTTGAACTTAAATGCATTTGAACTTCACACTTCTAAGTATCTTGTTTGGCATTGTGAACGCACAAATTTGAGAATGCAAGCACAAACAAACATGATCAAGTTAGAGTCCTCTTGCATATAATTTTATAAAGTGATATAAATAATTTAAAGTGGGATTTTCCAAGTTTGTGTACCTGGGTTAGCAAAAAAAAAAAACAGTGCTTGGGATATAACGAAGTCTGCACATATAATGTTTTTCACATTTTTCCACTTTAATGGCATGTTGTTTCATTAGTTATAACTATACTTGGGTTAAGATTAAGAATATTGACTCAGTTAGAGGGATGAGAATAATGGAGACATAATACACCTTACTTGTTAATTAAGTTGAACCTTCAAATTATAAATGTTGAGAGCGGTGCCTCGATTACAATCACCCCGCTCCCCTCCTTATGGTTCCTCAAGACATCTCTAATTAATGTGATGCCCTTAGGTTGACGTGACCGACAAATGCCATATTATGCACATAAGCTAATGTACGTAGAGCATTTCATGCTGCCTAATGAAAATGTGAATTAATATCCATTATGATATGCAATTCTATAGTTTTATGTTGATCTAGCAAGATGACTTGAATTTAAAGACAGCTTTTGGATGATTGGTTTTTGGTCTTAGCTAGTCCAATAGCTTAGATGAATTGGATATTGGGATGTGTTTGATCATTTGCTTTTATGATTTTGGGTATAATGGGCTGGTGGGCAAGCTCGATCAATTTAGCATTATGACTGGTCACATGAAAAACTTTGATGAAAATCCATTTTAATGAGATATTAAATTATAATAATCAAAGAATATCATTGTGTTCGAATCTAATTTACCACTGTGTAGTCTTATTTTAGCTTAAAAAATGAGACCTCACATCCCATTGAGTGTCGGCTTCTCAAATGCATGAAGTTGTTTAACTGAGCATCCGTTATCACATGATAGAGCGTGCCTCCGTCTTTTATTAGTAAAAAAAATGACTCTTATGACAACTATAGCAATTTTACCTTTTTTAAATGTCACTTTCCACCACCGTCAAAAGTTGCAACACATTAGTCATATTTTGGATTGCATGTATTATAACAAAATAAAGAGTAATGACTTCTATAGTGACTCTATCTCATTAATAAAATAAGAAGTATACAATTTATACATTAGTATTTATCAAAGCAAGCAGTTAATAGTCTTGTTGATTGTGAGTAAATAAATGTAAAAGCTTATATAAGATAAAAATTGGTGGAGAAAAAACATTATATGTTGCGTAATGGAACTTTCGTGGGTATAAGTAGACAACAGGAGGGCATTAATTTGAATTTTTCCCCAACGACTTCAATCAAGATTTACCAATTAGTAATTTTGGAAATATACGCCTTTTGTCATGTTGAACATTGTTGATCTATTTGTTTGATCATACGAGTGAAATTAAACAACACAATAAATCTCCATGTTCGATTATTTGGATTTCCACCCTTATCATAAGTGGCTCCAAATCTTCATGTACACTCCCATGTGTGATTATTATTCTTCTGTGTCATTTCTTACCGTAATAGGGGTGGATTCAAACTCTTGATTTAAAAATGAACTGTGAACAATAGAGCTGCACCTTGGGTTCAAAAACTAACTCTAGGCAAGCCTATATACATAATACAATCTTAAAGGCTAATTAGAACTAGATTCAAACAAGGTTAAAACATAATATGATGTTTGAGCATAATTTAAATATTATATGAGCATAATTTTTTTATTCAATTTGAGTTCAAATAAGATTTGAACCAGGTTCATACACCATAGCACATGTTTCATCATAATTGAAACTTAGTTTTTGCACTGTGGGATTTGAGAATTAGCTACAAATCGGTGGTCTATAACTTAGTTTGAACTTAGGGTCCAAATATTATCTTCAAATAAGAGACTTAAAAGTTATCTCAAACTAGTTTTTAATAAAATCCAAATACAATAACCTCAAACCAATCTGTAGATAATATTTAAATAAAGCTTACACAACGTAAATATCTTCATTTTAGATTCATCTACATAAACAAAGTGTTCTAAATAAAAATAATGTCGATGTTAATATTTAGTATCGATAAAGGTAGAATACATTTTGAATATTCTTTGACATACTTTGAATTCTATTTAAACAAAAATTAACATTGGCTCGAAGAGGTTTGACCAAAGATCGAATAAGGCTTCGACCATATCCAAAATTTTTTCAAACTCGAAGTAAATAAAATTTAAACCAATTTTATTATTCCTAACTTTTTATAGTGTTTAAATCTCATTAAAATCTATTTCAGTTGCCAATTGAACATGATTTGAATTTGTATTTCACATGTTGAATTGTTTTTATTTTCATTTATATCAAATTTCAAGATTTTTTTATTCAAATAACTAACACTTCTCACACAATTACATAACATTAAATATTAAGAAATTACTTCAATAATTTTCTCATCATATTATTTAAAATTTGATCTGCCAAATTAGTTTTAATCTACTCAAAATTCCAATCGAGAATCAAATATATGATTTATGAAGCATCATAAGACAAATTTTTCATTCTTCAACCATCCTCTTCCACCAAAAGCCATATGCATTTATGATCATTAACACTAACATGAAATTCGAGCTTGAAGTTTGTGCCGATCGCGCTTAATCCTCACCAGGGGCGTGCATTCAGTCAGTTCAGATGAATTGACTTGAAAATTTTTGTAAATCGAAATGAACTGAAATCTATGATATAATTAACCGAATCAAACAATTCATTAACATAATCGAACCATTCAAATCAAATTTTAACTCGATTTGATCGGTACGGTTCTACATAAACCGAAATTTTAATTTTCGATATATTAAAAAAATAAAAAAAACCCTTAAATAAAAATAATAATATAAATAAAAACGAGAAATGATTTTTGATTGGTTCCAATATTTTTTAAAAACAAGATCCGCAAATTATAAATAAAAATATATAAAATTTAAAACTATAATCCGAAATATTATTTTAAAAATCGAATCAAATCAATAAACGACTCGGTCCGATCTATTTATTTTTGGATGTATCCAAACCGGGCACACCCCTAGTCGCGTTCTGCCGGACCGGCAGAACCTTCTGGTTTAGCGTAGGCGGGAAGGAGAGCAAGCGAGCTCTTCGACAATGGAAGCTTAGAAGCAGTCCAGTCAAAGAGAACCTGTCATTCGTTGCATTAATCGACGAACCCGGCAAGTGTTTCTTCCTCCTCGTCGCAGTGCTCGTCTCTCACACGCTCGTACATCACGTCGGGTACTTGGGGATGGCTCGCAACAGAGTACCGTCTTCAACCCTAATCTCACTGTTTTTTCCGTATCATTCTTGCTTACTGTTATTTTAAATTGTTCTTCGTTGATTGCAAACCTGAGGAAATTTCGTCTACTCTGTCTTCTGATATTGTCTTTTGTGTCAATGGTTATCCAATCTTATGTGTTTTTTCTTAATTTCATATTTGCGGGATCAATTTTCTCGATTACTTTGATTTTTGTTGTTTTTTTGCAACAATTTAGTACGAACAGCTAGATGGTGCATGATGAAAAGGAGATTTGGTTGTGAAAGGTGCTAATCAGCTGCTTCTTAGTTGGTCTGCATGTTTGAAGTCAAAATGTACTATAGCTCATGCATGGGGATATCAGCATTTCTTTTAAATTTGTGGTCTTTTCGATGAAAACATCCTAAGATTTTGACTCACGGGCTTATTTACAAAGTACTATGAGCATTAATTTCACAGCATTTGATCTTATTTTCATCTATTGTGCAGGAAAGTGTAGTTCTTGTTCTTGATGTAGGTCCGACGATGCACAATATTCTTCCTGACGTTGAAAAGCTCTGCACAACGCTTGTGCTGAAGAAGGTTAAAACCCCATTGCTCTCCTTTCCTTTCCTTGTACAGCCTTTTTCTCCCCCTCAATGTTTCTGTCTGGTTGTCCGGCTTTACACTTGAAGGCGCATTTTTATAAATCCTTTAGGGCCATCTCTTAATGATAAACGACAACCTTTTATAAATTTTATGAATAAATCCTTATAGCTTCCTTCGTTTTATGAGCAAGCTTTTAAAAATGATAAATTTAATTAATGATTCCTTATGTGTAAGCTTTTTTGTTTGAACAAGGATGAAAACTAGAAGGATGAGATAACAATATGAAGGAAGATGATACGGCATATTTAAGTTTATTCCCTTCATATGCTTTTAACCCTAAAAATTAAAAAAAAAAAAAACCCTGAAAATTTCATATTTCAAGAAAAAAAAGGTGCATATGTGCCATTGAAATCTCTCTATGTTATATATTTAACATCCAAATCTTCTTTGTTCTAATTAATAGCACTTTATCAACTGAAACTAATTATGATGGAGTGAATCTTAATGATGGTTACACGAAAAACAAAAAAACATCTATCATTGATCAGTGGAATGGTTAATGGTGGTGGAAATGTTTAGGATGGTTTAAATGATTTGGACGGTAAGAGCATAAATACAAAGGTCAAGTATCAGTATGTAGTGTGGAAATGTTTACGTGGTAAGTTTGTAAATTTCAAAATAAATAGTATGTTAATTAGTTTATTTGTGCCTTTCTAGGCTTCTTCAAACATGATAAATTTGTTCTCTTTGTCATTGACACAGCTAATGTATGCTAAATACGATGAAGTCGGCATTGTCCTGTTTGGCACAGAAGGTATCATTACTTTATCCCATTATAATCTCCCATTCTTTTTAATGAAAGATGCATCCTCTTTAGCTCTTAATTATTCCTCATGCTCGTTGTTTATTTTAGTAACCAATGAAAATATGCAGTTTATCTTCTAATACAAGGACATTGATCATAAATGAAAATTCTTTAAAATGGAAACATTCCATTATGCTTTTACATATGATATACAAAATTTAAATTTTGAATTTCATTTGAAAGGTGATTAGACCATTATATGTAATTTGGAATTCAATCAAAACCCAAGAATGTCAGTATTTATTAAGTTAAATCTTTGGTCAGTCCCAATGTTTATGTTCATTTTAATTTTAATGGAATCAACAATTTCGTTGGCTTTTTTATGCTTCTTAACTTTTTTTCAATGGGGCTATAGTCTTTCTTGTTTCTTGCATGTTGTGACCTTTTGTTTGCGAGGCTTGTTATGAGCTTTCATATCACTAAGATTACCATTCTTGAATCAAATTTATCTTGTGAATCACATCCAAGGAATAAAGTGCAAAGAAGTAGAGAGAGAAATAAAGAGAGCACAACAATGTATAGTAGAATGAAAGGGCTGCGTAACCTCTTATTTATGAAATGATTCCATATTTATAGACAAAAGGAAAATAATATATGAAGTTACATCTATACCGCAACTTAAGTAGGGACTATATAATTTATTTTAGATCATTTACCTTTGTGGGCCCAGGGCCTTACTGTTCTCAGGCTTGATTGGCTGGATTGAATAGGGCTTCGACAATCATGCCGGTTGACTGTATCCATCAGTGTCGCTAGACGCCGGTCGGCTCGACGACTGCGGGTCGGTAGGACTGATATGATCAACTGAGTTTTGTCGATCGGTGAGAATGGTTTTGTCGATTCTCGATCTCCACGAAGTAGTTTTTTTCGATAGGGTAAACTAGGCCATTAGGCAAAGGGTAAATCACCGTATTTCTACCGGTAGCGTTTCCGTAACGAGAGGATTCTGGTGGGATGACTGAGACTTATACTCTTTTGGTGACATTTAGGGGATACGACTAATTAATTCCTGTATAATAGTCATGGGGGCTAGCCTCTCTTTCGGCCTGACTTCATTGTAGTGGCAGGCTTGGGCGATTCTTTGCCTTTCGTCTTTTGAGCCGCTTGGGATGATAGCACTTCGACCACCCAGTTGACTTGGGCAGTCTCTGGTTTGCTATATCTGGTTAGATATTTGATTTGCTTATTCGTCTTTTGGTGGGCCCTCTTGATATTAGTGCTCTTCTCCTTAGACCGTCAAATCTCCTTGAGATTCGCGCCTGCATAATTTATGTGTACAACCATCTTTATTTGCCTTTATTCTCTCTTATTAGAATGTTGAGGTTCCAAAGTTTATAATTGTTATGGCAATGGTTCTTTTAACTCATTCAAGGATGATGAACTTGTAAATTCCAAATTTATACTTGCCTGTCAAACCACAAACCTATTTCCTCAGTTTTTTTTTCTTTGGGATTTAATGCTTCAACTAATGGGAGTACCTACGTAAAGTGAAAACCAATATTCATAACACAAGATTTCATTTTATTGTCAAAAGCTATGTGGCTAGGTTAAATTCGATAGAAAGGAAAGTGTAGATAAGCTCATTAAGTTACGATTGCACGAAAGAAAGTAAAGTTTACTTCTAATGAGTAGTGGAAAATAAGCAATGAATGGTGAAACAACATTCATTATGGATTGATGGAAAATAGATAGATCCATCCCTTAGAGGAGAAAGACTAGTTTGCCTTCTAAATTGGATCTATTGATTTATTATCTAGAACACTGCTATACCAATCAATTGTTTTGGTACAGTGAGTTTTCCATACCCCATATGTTGAAAACATCCAAATTTATAGCTCAAAGATGCTAATGACCATGATATTTCAAGTTTCATGCAGTGAAGGAATATGTACTAATATTGATGGTTTTAGTTGAGCTCACCACTTCCAATGTTAGTTGTTTTCCCAACTTTTATTCTCACTATTTTGGCTAAAGAACCGTGGATATTGCACATGGTAATTCATCCTAGAGTATGTCATGCGCTTCACGCCTCATCCATTATAAGAAAGATAGGTCCTTCACTTTTTGTCGTTTATGATGGAAGGTCTATGTGTTTTGAAAGATTCTTTTCTTTTGCTGTGATGACATGTCTTTCTTCCTGCAGTTTCCCATGGGAAGGCACACACTCTCATTCAACATTCACAATACAAATTAAAAAGAATAGTAAGAGCAAAAAAGTTAATTTCATCTAAACAGGTGTTAATTTGGTTCGGTATCTTCTTTCCAATTGATTTGTATGTGATATCGAAAACTCATTCCCAATTTTGGTGTAAAACAAGTTGGAATTACTACTTCAAATACATATATGATTACCAATGAATGTTGGTTATACTCTTTAATTAAAAGTTTTATTTAATTTTTTGGAGTTAGACTTGTAAGTTTCAGAAGTTCCTATATTAATCCATTTCTAATATTTCACATTCATATCATCATTACTATCAGTCTTGTCCTTGCTGTCTTTTGGATATTATATATGACTATGTTTTGATGCACACATTTCCAATCTCCTCTTTGTTGTTGTACATTAGCTTGATCGAAACTCTGAGCTGCCATTGCTTCCCACGACAAGGTTATGTTTTCGAATGCCTTCTGTTCTTTCTCTTTTGTCCAACTATAGGTATCAAGGATATCATTGGTTTGCTTAATGACAGGAGCTATCATGAACCTTTGCCACTTTTTGTTTGCCTTTTATGAGGGCAAAACTTCCCTCTATTTTGTGGATTCTTTCTCCTGGAAAAGCTTGAAGCTTGGATTCAAAGGATCTCTTAGGAGGGTGATGAAGTTTTTTAATATTTTAGGGAGTGTTTGGATATCTACCTTGGTCAGATTCTTTGGGATAGTCGAAATCAAGCATAATTTGTTTAGAGATTATATAAAAGTTGTAATCCTATTAATTTTTTTACCGATTCCTTCATCATTTAGCTATTCAAATGGTGGTTGCATGGGTTTAGGTGCAAGAATGACTCTACTTGTTGGTGTGAGAAGTACTATGATTGACCACAATGAAGTTTTAGCTGTACTTCTTGAAGTGCGTCATTTCCCTTGGAAGATGGTGGGACGATGGAGTTGTGGGTGAGTTACATTAGGACTTAATACCAATTTTTGAGATTTTTATTTCTTTGGGAAAAGAAAGCGCTAATCATGGAAGAATTGCATCTAGAAGAAGTAGAGCCCGTGCCTGATAAACAACATTGTTAAGTCATTCACCCTATAGAGAGTTGATGGGAGATCAAAGGGGAAGTGGATATTTCATTAGGTGACTTACAATTAATGTTGTGTCATGGTAGATGGATGTAAACAATTAACCATAGAGTTGGCGAAGTGTATCTTGTTGTTATGATGAGGTTTGAACAATAGTCATGCTAAAAAGTTGAGGGAGGATGAAGCGAATATTGGTGTTGCTAGAGAAGATGATGTCGGTCAACTTTTTTATGATTATTTGAAAATATGAATATGAAAATAATTTTTGAAATTTAATTTAATATAATAGATATATAGTTTGAGTTTTAAAAGTAGTATGTTTTAATTTTTGAAAAATGAGACCAAATGGGTCTCATTAGTCCGATAGTTTGCATAATCATGCCCGATACCGCGAATACTACACCCTCCCGAAAGATAAGTGTAGACCTCCCGAAAGATAAGTGTAGATTAAGTGTAGATCTCGGCGATAGAACCAATCCTGCAAACTAAGAAATTTGTGACATTCGTTTGGTCTGCGAATCTTTTATGTATGACCGACAAGTTCCCTTATCTAAGATAATAATTAAATAGGATTTATTTTACCTGTGTTCCAAGTTCCTTATCAAGGCAAGCATCTATAGTTAATTACATCTCAAATGACTGGGGTTAATTGAGAAAACTTTCGATAATGATCAGAGGTATTAGTTTTCAAGATTTCAAAGTTTAGGTTTTCATGGAAAAGCAAGTGAGAGTACCTCAAATAAGAACAGTTATTTCAGGAGTCCAAAGAAAAGAAAAGGTAAGGGATGTCACAGATCCTGAGGAGAATCCTCAGTGACTTCTCAAACTATCCTACTGTATGACTGCATTTTTAGAGATGATGTTATTCAATTGTTCAATCCTGCCAATTTTATTATTTGAGACTTACATATGCATAATACCTGATTATGCAAATAGCCTACAGAGATAAGAGGGTTTACGTCGTGTCATACGAAAATCTCGGAACCTAAGGTGGGTTAGGACTTACGCTGCACAACATGGTTGTACATGAGCCTAAAAAAGGGAGTGAGGATTTACGTCGCGCTGAATAAACTACCTTGAAGTCCTATGAGTTGTTATTATGCTAGGAAGAGATAATGTTGAAAAAAATCCTCTTGTTGCTCGCTCCATGCTCGTCGTCGTGCTGCCCACAAAGTTGGCTCCAAGCTCCTATTGTAGCGATGACTCCAGGGTTTAAGTGTTTGAGATTGGTGATTTGTATTTCCCAATTTTTGTGTCAAAATTTGATTTTGTTTTGTTTCGATTTTGGTTTCAGTGCTGGTTTTACATGCAGGATAATCAAATTGCAGGTAAATAAAAGGTACTTCAAATGTAAAATGCAGTAAAGTAAAATGCTGTAGATAAACTGTAAAAGCGTAAGCGTACCTGGGCATCTGCTATCCTGGGCATCTGCTATTGTTGCGTTATTAGTGTTGCGAGCATAATATGATTTGCAGTAGATTTAAATAAACTTGCAAGAAAATTAAACAATGCGAGAAAACCTAGTGCGAAAGTTAGAAAAAAGAGTTGTAAAAATCACGAGCAAAAGAAACCCTTAGCCACATATAAAAGATCACGACTGGGTATAAGACATTGATAAAAATGGGGCTTAGAGCTGGGCTGTGTGCTTCCCGATCTTGAACAAGAGTTACCAACCCGACAATCTATAACAGACAGCTCTTAAACTCAAT